ATAATTGGGTAGTATGTCAATGTAATAATTGTATAATAATTATTAAATTAATAATCATGTTTCATGAAAGTACTAAATTGTGTTCACCTTTTTTTCTTTTTTTTTGTAAAGTACAAATTGAAAAATCCGTGAAAATCTATATGATCACCAAAGAATGGACATGGAAATGATTGTAAGGAATTCATGAATTTTGTATAGTTTATCCAAATAAGAGATTTGAAGAATCCATGGCAAGAATCCTAGATACTGAAAATCCATGAATTTTTTTGGATTTCAAATACCCAAGATTCTTAATTCTCTCCTATCCAAATGGGCCCTTAAATCATTTTACATTAGATCAATAATTTAAAAAATGTCAGGTCAGCACAAAATTGCCTAGTCCTACCCGGGAATCGGTCATCCCGTGCCAATTGTATTAATATATAGGAAATCGTCTCTGTCTAGAAGAGAATAGGCGATTTGTTACAGTAAATCACTGTTTTGCTATAGTAAAAATGTTGTTTGGCTACAATTAAAATGCTGGCTTACCAATTCATCCTCGTTTTTTGCCAGTTCACTATTTTTGCATATATTTTTTCCCTGGATCAGTATTTTTTGCACAATAAAATGGCAATCTGGACCATCGGTTCACCTATCTGGGCAGCTTTTTGCGATACCTGATCCAGGTCACCGATCTGTTTTAATGGAAACCTGAAATCATTTGGACAGTAAAAACCGTAAGACTAGAAAACTCTTATATTACGAGATCCAAAAACAAAAATCGAAATCCATGAGCACAAAAACTTCAATCTTACATAAGAAAGCCAGAATCAAGGCAAATAGAGTATTGAATTGCATGACTTCGATGCTTAACTTGGACGTCGAAACCCTACCCCATCCCACCTAGTAAAACTTTCCCGGGGAAAGCCAAGGTAAGCATGAGCAATAGCAAATCCCCAGAACAAACAATGAAAAAAAGAAAGTTGGAGTTAAGGGTGGCAACAGCCCGGCCCGGTCCTTGTCCCTATAGGCCCGGCCGGATGTTACCCTATTGGTATTAAGGACGGGTTAGGCTGGGCCAAAAATAAAAGTAAAAAATAAATAAATAAATAAATAAATACATAAATAAATAAAAGGAGAGCCAGGTCGGGCCCTGGTGAGACTAGGGCTGAGAATTTACTTGATTTGGATCTAAAACCTAAATTTTGGACCTTGTCTTGATCCAAGTATGGATCCAATATTTGTCTTTGACGGATCGAATTTGGATCCAAAATTTCGATCCAAATAATAATTCGGATCGGATCTGAGTACAGGCAAATCTGATCCTGATCCAACCCAGTTATTACAATATTATCTATTATTTATATATATACATATATGTTATATAGTTTTTTTATAATATATCATTTTAAAGATATAAAATAATACACAATAATTTTTTGGATCAGACCCAATCTAGATTCCATGAATACTTTTTAGATCAAGATCCGGATCCTAATATACTGGATCCGATCGAGTCCCGATCAGGATCCAAATCTCATATATACTCTTAGAATCCGAATTCGGATCTCGTTGGATCCAGAACGATCCGACCCATTCTCAGTCCCATGTGAGACCATCCAAGGAGTACGAGAACAAGAGGCACAATACAAGTGGAGGGAGGAAGAGAGATGATAATGTCGTCAATTGGTTTTCAAAATGCATCTGTCCTTCAACTAGTTTAGAACCATTGCTAGTTTTAGCTGTTATCCTTATTTTTATGCTAAAAACGACTGGAAACTATTTTTGGATCAGATTGGAAACTATTTCTAGATCAGAGACAGTAAATTAAACGTCATGCATGTTCCAAATTAAGTGGAAATATTTCACGGTTTTTACCCATTTCGACGTTTGTTGTTTACTTTGCCCCATTTCCTTCCACTAATATAATTTTCCTTTGTGGTTTCCTTTTTATAGAGTGGGTAAGTTAGCAGTCTAAAGTGGCGGCTAGTGGGCTATCAATTTTCCGGGAAAGGGTCAATGTTGTGGTTTTCATTTCCACTAACACCATCCCACTAATATCTTTAAAAAACTAACTCCTAAAGTATTTAAAAAAAGGGAAATTTTTATATGTAACTCTAATTCTCCATCTTATTCATGGTAGACCCTATTTCTATTTTTCTATCAAGCGGCATAAAAAAATCCCTAAAGATTTCACCGTAGCCCCTCGTCTCTTATATCCCTCTTTTATTCACTTTTGACTATAAAAATTAGCCCCAACAAACCTTTTTATAACATTTTAACTCAATAACATTCCAAAAACGTTTCAAAAACCGTTTTAACCCACCCCATTATATCTCCCCACCCTTTTATCTTTTAATGCAAAAAAGTTTCAAAAATATTTTTTATTATATTTTTTGCCTTTTCAGCCCCTCGATGCCACGTTGAGGACTCCCTATCTCTCTGTCTCATATTGGTCTCTCTCCTCTCCTCTTACATGTTAATATCTCTCTAAATTTTACAGCCGGTTCTTTTCTTTCTCTAAACCTCTCCTTCTCTAATGGTATAAAAAGGTTTTTTGAAACGTTTTTGGAACGTTTTTGGATTGAAATGTTATAAAAAGGTTTGTTGGGGTTAATTTTTATGGTAAAAAATAAATAAATGAGGGAGATAAAAGATGAAAGGGTACCGTGAAATACTCGAGGATTTTTTTATAAATAAAAGGAAGGTCTACCATGAAATAAGATGGTGGATTAGGGTTCTGTACGAATTTTCCCTTAAAAAAATAGATTTTATACAATGAGACTATTTATCTTTGGAATAGGGAGTTTTCAATACTTACAACCATCCGATGTGAAATCTGATAGCTTGGGTGTGTCATAAAGTTCGAGAAAAATTATTTTGAACTTTGAGTTTGGTCAATGACATAATATAGCTACCCAATTTCACATCCAGTGGTCCATATTTATTATGACCACCTTGTACCAAAAGTAAATGGTCTCGTTATATATTTTCCCTTTAAAAAAGGGTTAGGGGTGTGTCTTCTCCACATTACCTACAAAAAAAAAAAAAAAGGGAAAAGAAAGTAAGTTACGAAGAAAAACAAGTTATTTGCAAACACACGCACCATCAAGTGAAAAATCTAACGACATCAACTCCAGGGTGTCATGGCCATCTGCTTAAACTACTAGGTTAAAAGCCCTTATCTCTTTTGAAAATTTGTGCTCCAAATAGGATTGTTACCGGGCTCGGCCAGCTCTGGCTCTGGCCCTAGCCTGGTCCTGGTCCTTATAGGGCCGGTCTAAAGCTGGCTAGCCAATACCAAGCCAAAGACACCTGGTCTAGGACAGGCCTAATGCACTAAGGAAAAGAAAAAAAAGGGCTGGATAGGATCCAGTCCTCCAGTTATTGTATTTAGAAAATGGGTTTGGGTCAAGATGATAGAGTCTAGGTTTTTATAGCCCAATATCTCAAGTTCCATTCCTATTCTTATGTAACCTTATAATAATAATAACAATAAATAAAAATAAACAAATAAGACCCAGTCCTCCAAAGCCCTAATATAATTATACTGAGCCACTGGGCTATTGCCATCCCTAGCTCCAATTTCATCTAATAAGAAAAATAGTTATTGTGTCCGCATAAATAGGAACATATGCGCATAATGGCGTGGAGAATCCGACTAACTTAAAAAGGTATGTATATTCTATATTAGGAAAGCACTTTGGGACTTCCCCTTAAAAGAGAGAAAGGGTAACATTTGAATATTCTCCACTGCAAATGGCACCAACTAATATTATATTAATTTAGAATTTTTTTAAGTAAATTAAGAAAGGTACTCACCACAATTTGACCAAAGTGTCGACTCTATTCCATAATTTCAATTTATTCAAGCCCAATTTATTCAAGCCTTTGTAGTGTGTATCATCATCATCATCATAATCATCGAAAACACTTTTTTCAACCAATTGGATCGGCTAAACCTTGGTTCACATATAGGGGGCAATGGTCAAATTCGGTTGGACCTAGACCCAAACCTTAATACTATTCGGATCCAAATTTTGGATATGTACCCTGACATCTTGGGTCCTAAGTCCACCCATCGGGTCTCGGGTATGGTTGGATCTATTGCCACTTTATGACTACAAGCTTTTATTTTTGTCATTTTTGCTTACCATTATATACCCTATCACAATAAAATGCTTTTTTTTTTTGTCAATAATATTATAAATATTATCACTATTATGACAATATGAACACTTAACATGCGTCTAAAGACATAAGATTGCTATCATATATCGTACGTCTACGAGTATAAATCAGGTCCAACTGGATCCCGACAGAGATCCAAATGGAATTCGCGTTCAAAATTTGTATCCGTAGCCAAACCCGAGTTCGGTATCCGGTCGGGTCCATTACCACCCCTATTCACCTGCTAATTGCTCGATGAATCAAACACGTTTTTGTCTACTGTATGGTTAGATCTGGACCGTCTGTCTGAAGGTAGATCAATAGGGAGCCCAAGGACCACCCGTGCCGTCCCAGCGTTCAGAAGAGTCAAGTCACACGTGTCAGGATCATGACGAGCAGGTCACAAGCCATACAGGGTAAAAAAAGGATCCAGAGAAATTGAGAAATAAGAGTGACGAAACTACCCTTTGGGCTCATCCTCAAATAAACACGGAGGAGCGCTGCCGAATTATGGGACAAAGCTGAGCCGGTTGATTTTGGACGTTACAGGAAATCGTCGGGGGCAAAAGCGTCATTTAGGACATGGTGGCCTGCCTCTGCCATTTTAAGGAACGATTGGGATTATTTCAGATAAGACTTTAAAATTAGCGGGGCATTATAGTCATTTCTAAGGTAGGTTTAGGTCCATGGCCATGGATGGATGCATGGCCGCATCATGCACGATGACACGGCGTCTCCTTTCTCCTTGGTCCCCACTCTCTCACTCCTGATGCTTAGACTCTCGCTCTCTCTCTAAAAAGCCTCGAGAACACTCTCTCTCTATCCTTGAATCTCTCTCCCTCTCTCTCTAAAAAGCCTTGAGAACACACTCTCTCTCTCTAAAAAGCGTTGAGAACGCTCTCTCTCTCTAGCCTTAAAATTGTCTCTCGCCCGCCCAGTGCTCAGTTTACATCTTGATTCTATTCTCCCTCTCGTTGCAGCTGATCAGTTCTCACTCTAAATCTGAAGTCTTCTCTCTCTCTAGATTCTACTTTCCCTCTCGTTCCAGCTGATCAGTACTTACTGTAAATCTGTGGTCTTAACAGTCTCTCTCTCCTCTCTACTCAAACCCTCAACTTGATACTTTCTCTCTCTAAAACACCCGAAAATAGGAGATGCAGGCAACTGTATAAAGGCCTAAACCTCACCCAAAATCCTGAAGGCACAGAGAGAAATGGACTACCCTTTCAAAACCTTTCCTAGCACCCCATCTCCACCGTCGAAACCTGAAATCGATGGCCTTCTTGCAGATGCAGGCTACCGGATAAAGGCCTCCGACCTGCCCCACGTAGCCCATCGTCTTGAACAATTAGAGACCCAAATGATCAACGCCCAACCCACCGAAATGACCCATCTGGCCTCTGAAACCGTCCATTATAACCCTTCGGACCTTGCCACTTGGGTCGAGTCCATGCTCTTCGAGTTAAACCCCTCTGAGATTCCGGCCACCTCTGGTTTTGCCGGCGAGTCTCAGTCACCCGAAATTGGGTTTTTCGCGGGGAATCAGAACCGTGGGTCATTTTCAGGCGCTGCAATCTTGACCCATGAGGAAGACTCGGGCATAAGGTTGATCCATCTCCTTATGAGTTGCGCTGGTTCAGTGGAGAGGGGAGAGAGAGAGATCGCCTTAAAATTGGTACAGGAGATGAGGCTTCTCCTTTGCCGGAATATCACCGGGGTGATCGGGAAAGTTGCCGTGTTCTTTGTCGACGCGCTTTTCTGGAGGCTTTCCGGGCACCCCTCCAACCGCGTGGATTCGGGCGAGTCTGAGTTCTTGTACCACCATTTCTACGAGGGATGTCCTTACTTGAAATTCGCCCACTTCACGTGTAACCAAGCCATATTGGAAGCTTTCGACGGCTGTGATGAGGTCCACGTCATAGATTTCAATCTGATACACGGTCTACAGTGGCCGGCCTTGATCCAAGCCCTCGCATTGAGGCCAGGTGGGCCCCCTTTTCTTCGTTTGACAGGAATCGGCCCACCGTCACCCGATGGCCGTGACACGATTCGCGAGGTGGGTATAAGACTCGCCGAGTTGGCACGGTCGGTCAACGTAAGGTTCGCTTTTCGAGGAGTAGCGACCCAGAGGCTCGAGGACCTAAAGCCCTGGATGATACACGTGCGGAGTACGGAAACTGTGGCCGTCAACTCGGTTTTCGTACTCCACCGCTTATTATATACGACCCCCGATCAAACCCAGCCCATCAAGCCAGTCTTGAACTGGGTGCGAGAACTAGGTCCCAAAATCTTGACAGTGGTGGAACAAGAAGCGAGTCATAACGGACTCGGATTCGTGGACCGGTTCACCGAGGCCCTGCATTATTACTCGGCCATGTTCGATTCGATGGAGGGGTCAAATCGAAACAACCAAGCTTTTGCGGAGCTTTACTTAGAGAGAGAGATAAAGAATATTGTTTGCTGTGAAGGCTCGGAGAGAGTGGAGCGGCATGAACCACTGACTCGATGGCGGGGGCGGTTCGACAAGCAGGATTCGAACCGGTTAGACTCGGTTCGAATGCGTTTAGACAGGCGAGTATGTTGCTCTCTCTTTTTTCGGAAGATGGATTTGGGGTGGAGGAGAGGGATGGATGCTTGACGCTTGGGTGGCACGAAAGACCGTTGATTTCGGCCTCGGCTTGGCACGTGGCAGGGCCTGAACCGTTGATGAGGACTGCGGATGAGTGAGATAGTGTGAGTAGAATTACTCTGTGATACTGTTTGATTGAGAGGAGGAAGGAAAAGCGCATATTTTTTTGGGTGGGAAAAATAAAAATTTACTTTTTCTGGTCTTTTTGTTTTCTCACTAAATCTTGTCTTTTGTTTTCTCACTAAATTCGTGAAAGTGAGCATGTCAATACCGGTGGACAATTGCCCTTTTTTCTTTTTTTTTGTTTTTTTTTTTTTTTTTTTGTTCCTTTTTTCCTCCAATAAGAAAAGGTTCGGATTTGTGGGAAAATGAGGTAACATGTTTTATTTTGGAATTATATATTATGATATCATTTATTTTTTATACCAAGAGGCCACAATCATTTTTAGCTATTGGATATTAAATTCAATAGGTGAAAATGTATTGTAATACTAAAAAGAATTTATTTTAAATTTGATGCCTAGTCGTCACATCTTCAAGAACCCAATTTCAAATCTAATGGTCAACAATGATTGTGACTTACTTGTATTAAAATAAATTATCTCATTCTATATATTTCTTTTTGGTTTTACGCTTCTAATCTTTGAGGGTTTCTATTGTTTGTTTTATTGTAGTGAGATAGAAATTTTCTTTTCTAGTGAATATATGCACATATGTATTTGATGATTATGATTTGAACTTTGAGTCCTTCCAATAACACCTGAAACCAATCAATTTGAAATCCAAAAACCAAAATGATTGCGAGATCCTTGCGTTAAACAAATAAATTAGAGCCTACCTTCATATAGTGGCGAGAAATGTGGTTTTAATACCAAAAATCATTGTGATAGTCTTAAAATGTATTATCATCTTTATTTATAATTTTAAAGCTTTAAAAATAGTGTAGATTGACATATACTATGAAAATTTAAAAATCTTGAAAATTGACGGTCCAAAAATGTATTACAAAATATAATATTTTCAAAACTTGAAATCCATTTTTTTCTCATGTCCATGCATCTTGATGCGATCAATTTGAGGATATTTGGGCATAAAAAAAACCTCTTCTAGTGAAATATTTGAGATAAGATTTAATTTGATTGTTTAGAGCCTCGACTCTATATAAACCTTTCCCAAAGTAAATGGTTTCTTTGTATTCATATATAAATATAAATATTCAATGGTGAGGAGAATATGGTTTTAATAAGAGGGGAAGATATCTTCATCAATAGTTTACATAGGTAAAATAAATGATGTCTGATTTCATACAAAACCAATTGATTAAACAATCGTAAAGAAGTCAGAAAAACTTCCCGACTAACTCCCTATGATTCTTGTTTGCAACAATTTAACGTAGATAACAAAAAAATTACTTAGATAAGAAAAATCCTGAAATTTAATAGCGTAATTTCAGATAAAATAAATTAAATAACAAAGAA